ATTAAACAAGTCCTGCTGGGACTGAAATGAAAATTCATTAACCACTATAAATCAATTTGGAAAGAACCTACCTTGTGATATTGTATCTTCTTACATAAAAACATGTTATCTTCACTTATTAAGTTTATTTTATCTCTCAGTAAAAAGATTTGGAGTATTCATGTAGGTCTACAAATTTCTTAAAATGTAAATTTTTTATATCTGTTATGAAGGAATTATTTTAGCCTGTTATATTTTTTAACTAGTAGTGATTGGTTCATAAATAAAAGCCACTTATTTTTGTATGTTTATTCTTTTATTCAGTGTGTATAAGTAAGTTTATTCTTATGGGTTTTCTAGGAAGACAGGCATGTAATGTTATAAGCAATGATAACTTTGTTTCCACGCTACTGGATTTATATCTTTTCTTCTGTTTTTGGTCCTGGTAGAATGTTGTAAGGATGCTTGAAATAATAGTATTAATAATTAAATTGAATGTAACCTATCTCTTACTCTATTTTACAACACAGGTGGCATCACATAGCTCTCTGAAACGAAATCAAATTCATTTGCCAACATATGTGCATAGCAACACTATACCTCACTCAGCTGGCAGTAATTTGGAAAGCAGTTTTGGAAATAACCTTGAACATTTGTAAATAGGGGGTGGAGTGATGATCAAAAGACCTATTCAGTAACCACATTCCATGCAGTGTTTCTTGCTTGTAAAATGATGAGGTTTAGCAAAAAGGGGAACTACTTGTTTCCCTGCTGTGCAAAAAAATATTTTAAAACTCTCTTTTAAACTCAGTGTATACGCTTATTTCCAAATTCTGAATTCAGCTGAGCTTCTGCTTAATATTTAGACAGTAAATAGGGTGAAAGTTGCAGCTGCCAAGGATACTTCAATATTAAATGAAAGAACAATAATAATAAATGTAGAAAGAAATAATTCCACTGCAAAGAATAGACTAAGAAAAACAACTGTACTACCCAGAAAAATATTGTCAAGATAATAGAATGAAAACTACCTTTGGTGCTGCTACTACCAGAAAGGAGTGAAAAGATTTGATTTTGATATCACAATGTAAATTAAAAAGTCTGTCATTTCCATTCATTCCATTCATTGCACTTTTCCTGACAGTAACAGTTGTTACATGTAATTTTTGCATTTTTTGTATTTTCATTTTTTAAAGTACACATGCCATGACAGAAAATGAAGCCCCTGATGTGGCTACAGTGCAGACATGCCCGTGAAAACTGGCCTTAACTGAAGTCTTAACCAGTCCACCCCAGGAGCAAGCAAGTGGCTCAACTAATGGCGTTAGCAGTCAGTTGGATCAGTGGGATTGAATTCTGTGAAGTGAAAACTCTACAAGAAAGTGTAATGTCTTCAGGCTTGGAGCTTACTGCAGTGATTTAGAAATGACTCCTATTTTCAAGCACCATGCAGCTTTCCTGCCACATGGGTTTTTGTCTGTAAATTCTTTATGATGATGTTGATGATGGTAAGAGCTTCTGTATATTGGTGGGTTACTGTGTGCCAGGCAGTGTTTTAAATGCTTCTCAAAAGTTATCAAATTTAAATAAGCTCTTAAAATGCAGATTTTTATCTGTTAGATAAAAGTACCCTAGTAAAGGTTTCTTGCTTCTCAAAGTCAGGCGACAACTAAAGTAGATGAATAAGATGACTCTTTGACACACACCCGCTCCTCTACTATTTCCCTGACATTCTGAGGTTCCAGGAAAAGGATAGGAAGAGGATAGATGATCCATAGAATCTAAGCAGTTTAGGGGGAAATGGAGGGGAAAGATAAAGCTGTTGAAAGAATTCGAATATCCTCCTCCTACTACTGCTTCAGCCAACTCTTAAAGGGCCCCAAGTAAATATATGAATAAATTATAAGAAGTACTAATAATAGAGCCTTTTACTGAGCATCTGCTGTGTGTGAAACATTATGCTAACTGATTTACATGCATTAGATCTACATCCCACTTGAAAGGATTTTATGCTTTCCAAAGGAGATCTTAGTAAGATTTCTTGAATGTTAACTTCCCAATGTGTATTTAAAATATTCTGCTAGTGGCAAAATTTTTTTTATTTCATCACTATTTAGAAGAATAGTTCTTGTATAAATAAGTCATACCCATAATAACAAACCACTGTGGACAGACAGTAGACTTCAGTCTAATCTCTCCTGATCCACCCTCATCTCTGCCTTTTCTCAGTTGCCTGTGGTACAAAATTTTGCATTTACTTATATGATGCCTCAGATTCCCTGTTATTCTGGTTAAAGCTTTATCTTTGTCTGACTATATTCTAACTCAAGAGTATTATCTATTCATGTTTCCACAAGCCTGAGTATGGTGCTAGTTACAAATTAGGTCCTTGATAAATGATTCTGAAATAAATGAGTTAATGAATAAATGAACAGACTTTAAATTGCCATTGTCCACGTAATGATTCTGTGGAACTGTGTATGATATATATATAGAGAGAGAGCATAAAGTCAGAAAATTTTTAAAAGACAGTTTTTTGTATTGTCTTTTTTTTTTTTTTAATCTGGAAAAGGGTTCTCAAACTTTTTGGTCTGAGGTTCCCTTTACACTTAAAAATTATTGAGTACCCCAATGAGCCTTTGTTGATGTGGGTTATATCTAGTGATACCATATTAGAAAATAAAATCGAGACATTTTGAAATACGGGAACATAAGCACATATTCTTCTAGCTGTCAAAGCAGTTGACATCAATACATGTCCACAGCCTCTGGAAAACTCTGTACACTCATGAGAGAATGAGAGTGAAAAAAGGCAAATAATGTCATAGTATTTAAATGAAAATAGTTTAGATCTCACAGACTGCTGCAAAGATCTTGGAGAATTAATAAGCTAAACTGTTCCTTTGGATTACTGTGACAAGAAAAAAACTCAGATCTCTTAAATTACAGCACGCTGGAGGGTAGAAAGAAGAGACAAGGGAGGTTAATCAATTAACTGCAAGGCAGAACCAACAAAAGACTGCTTACATTCCTGAATATATGTTGAAACTTTGAATTTCCAGGTGGCTCTTTCCTCCATTATACAAAATAGCAGAGTACCCCAGCCACCAGGTGCCACTGCATCTTTCTGACATAGGAATTTCCCAGACTACTGCCCACAAGCAATACTAAAGAGCAAACACCTGTTCCATACAGACTACGCACCTATCCCATACTAGCCCCACTTCACCTTCTCCCACCCCCGTTATCTACAGCCAGTGCAAATTCCTTCAAAACACCTTACATCTTTCTTCCCTAAACTATTTGTGTAAAAGAGCCCCAAGGATTAGACTGCATGCCTCAGGAACTGTCTCTTTTCTGGCTAGCATATGGCTCAGAAAACCCCTTCTTTCAGAAAAGCTTTTGGCTTTTTTGTGTAACAACTGAATCAGCCAATAGTAAGGGTAGTCTTTAATCTTAAGGTTAAAACCATGTCTTTTCTCTTTGACTTGGGATATTTCACTATTTTATTTAAAAATGAACAGTTAATTCAATAGTGTCTTTTAAAAATTTTTATTAAATTTATTGGGGTGACATTGGTTAATAAAATCACATACATTTCAAATGTGCAATTCTATAATGTATCACCTGCATATTTGCATTGTGGTTATTACCATCACCATGTGTTTGACCCTCTTTACCCTTTTATATCCCTTCCATCCCCTTTGTCCTCTGGTAACCACCACATTATTGTCTGTATTTATGAGTTTTTATTTGTCTCTTTGTCTTGTTTCTTCATTTCTTGCTTTCAGTTCTATATTCCACATATGAGTAAAATCATATTGTGGAAAAACTCAGTTCTTGCTGACACAGTAAAGAATTACAAATCAGCAAGTCTATTAGCATGCAAGCAGAGTTTATTAGTGATAAGTTCTCGTGGAAGAGAACAGACCTAGCTGAGGTGTGGGTGAAAGGCATAGGCTCAAAGCAGGGAAGGGCAAGGCAAGGTAAGGGAGGCTAGAAGGAAGGGTAGCAAAAAACATCAGGTCCTTTGTCCCGAAAACAATATAGTCAGCGGGATTAAGTGAGGGAGCTACATACTGATTGGTAGGTAAAGGTGGTGCCAGCTTCCCCCAGGGGACATGACTACCTAAACTCAGGCATGTTTATTGGATTTTGATTATTCCAGGCATGTGTGGGGCTCTGTTCCCCCGAATTCCTATCTTGTTCCAGACCATATTTGTTCATCTTGTTGTAAAACAGGTACGTGACAGGGGCAGTTAGTTAAAGTTGAGGCAGTCACCCAAAGTTATTTATGGGCTCTTTCTATAAGCACTGTGGACCCCCTGTACAACAGATATTGACCAGATACAGGCAATTAACCAAAGCTGTTTCATGGGCTTTTTCTTGGGCATTGGAGACTCCCATCCTCTTCCTTCTTTTAGACCTTGGGATGAATACACAGTTTCAAAGGCCTTCTTTCCCAGATAGTGAAAATGATAGATACAGAACTTTAAGGTCTCCCCTTCTCCTGTGCTATCATGCTGTTTCATGTGATGTTGGAACACCTGGCAATCTTTTTGGACCAGGCTCAGGACTGCTTAGTTACTGGGTGGGACAGGTATCCTTCCTCCTTCCTGCCTTGATTTACTGTCTGTACCAACCAACAATATGACTGTTTTTCCGTTTGACTTATTTTGCCCAGCATAATATTCTCAAGGTCCATGTTGTCACAAGTAACAGTATATCTTTTCTTATGACTGAGTAGTATTCCACTATATATATATATATATATATATCTCACATCTTTTTTATCTAATCATATGTTGAAAGATATTTTGTTGTTTTTTATTTTTATGTTTAATCATGAATATTGTGAATTCTATAAATTATTTTAATTATCTAGCAAGTACAAAATTAATTTTTAAATAATTTAAATGATAGTTAACATTTTTGGTTGACATTATCTTTTTTTAAAAAAAAAACAACAATTTTGGAAACTGTTCCATATACATTTAAAGTTGGGTTCTCTTACATTGCAGTTCCTCAATTTGAAACTACATGTAGTTACATAGAAGCTACGCTTGAAGAGTTTTTGACCTGGAACTGTGGCCACTCCTGTATTTCTGGACCATTTAGGGATTATGATTATTCCAAATTTTGGGCTTATGCTGACTATAAATATGTTGCCAGCCTATTTGAAGACAAGACAGATATTTTTCAGGTAAGTCAATACATTCTTTTTTTCCATGGTAATAATTTGTTCTTGAGAAAAGATCACAAATTTACATTTCCCTGGTACCTTTTTCCTTCACTGTCTTTTTTTCTCAAAAGAGGTCACTGTGAGTGTGGAGTATTTTATCCGCTTAAGCCAAAAGATTTGGCCAAGGGAAGCAGAATGTTTGGCACACATAGATGAGCAGCCTTCTCATTATTTTTCTACTCTCCAAATTTTCTTATACACTCTCTCAATTGTGTATAAAATTTCATTTCCTCCGAACTTACATATAAGCTCTTGGTCTGTCAATGAGGCATATGGAGGTACAGAGCTGATCACATAGAAGCATTCTTAGAATCATGGAAGCATTCTAGGCTGCTGCTTCCATCTCTCCCTGCTCTGGGGGTTTATATAGGGTTATGGCCTGCATCAGATGCTGGACTCGCAGTATTTGATTGTAGAAGTCCTGCAGAAGTGTGGGCATACTTTCAGAATTAGGAATGTGGAAGTTCTTTGCCATGTGTTGACGTAATTGCCAGCAGAGTTTGCAAGCTACGATATCCTCTTTCCTTATAAGTGTTTTCTACTTCAAACTGCCAATTTATTTTCTGGGGTGATTTTGCAGATTGCCTGCTCTGGTTTCTGTGTTAGTCTTAGGCCTAGGGCACAAATGGGAGTAGACCCAAGAAGCTGTTAGGAAGACTTGGCCCTGCCCACAGTCAGGCAAGGCTGCAGAGTCCTTTATCCTGCCCCTTTTCTTTGCGGAGAGCAGTCTTTCGCCAACACTGCAGGCTCTTAACCACCGCTCTGTCCTGCCGGTCACCACCACCCTTCTCTGGACTTCCTTCTCACATAGGCGGATAGTCCTTGGACTTCTGAGTGGTTTTTTTCTCAGCCTGTATTTTTCTTTTTCACTTTGAGTCAAGATGTAGATGCTGATATTTATGTAATTACTATGATACAATTGTTAATACTTTGTAGCTTCCCTTTATTAAGTTGTTTAAATGTTTACTTAATTTTTGCTTTCTTTTAAAAATGAAAAATATATCACCTGCTTCATAATTGGTAGTTGAGGGTATATTTTTATTTTCATAACCATCAAAGAAATGCATCAGTTTTCAAAACATTCAGTAAATGCGTTCTGAATCGAAAGTCTATTACCAGATCTATTCTTTACTGATTTTTAAATAATAATTTTGAAGTAATTTTTTTTTTCTTCCAACCTTAATTGTTACTGCTTTATGGATCTTTAACCCTGGACCTTTTAGATATCACAGTTAACTTTTAGAGTATCTTACTATATTTCTTATACGCCCCACCCACCCTGTAGATCAAATTAATGCTTTTTTACTCCATACCATACATACTTCAGGCAAATCATTGTGTAATACTAATATTTACCAAGTACTTTCTTATACTTTGTGCTTTTCTAAGTGTTTTACATTTATAATCATAACAGTAACCCTGTGATTTAATAATTATCCCTATTTTATGAAAAATGAGGCACAGAGCAGTTAAGTAAAACTCCTTTGAAAACACACCACTAAGAAAAGAGTAACTCAAGCAGCAGTCTGCCCTCCCAGCTTTAGCTACTGCACAGTATGCCTCCAGATGGTATAAATAAACTCAATTCTGTGGGGACTCTACAGCTAGAATTAAAGAATTCCATTTATGCTGAGTCTAGGCTCACTCTGCCTTGGATGGCTCTCTAACCTGACCCATCAGTTGTCTGTCTCAGCCCAGGCATAACAGCACTGGGCATACACGTGTCCAGTCCATTAGGCGTGGATATAGAAGCAGTCTTTTGGTAATGTGCTGGAATTCTAATTAAGCCCTATAAAATCTGATCTTTTTACCTGCATAAGTTTTTTGTCAGCTCACATTATGGTGATTAATGCTGTGGATTAGAACAGGCAAATCTGTGAACAACCAAGTCCATTTAGATTTTATTATTTTTTGGCTCAGTTTTCTGAGTACCAAGTCTTCTTACATCAGGTACCAAAGTTGTTGTCATTCTTTTACCACTATAATTCATTCAGGCACTAAGTCTTACTGTTGTTTCAAGTATTCTGTTGTCTGTCATAAAATGGTGGGTAGTTAAACATTAAAACTGGTGAATTTGCAAAGTACTTATTAATTCATTTTAAATAAATCCTTGTGAACATAAGTAACATTTTTAATGAAAGTAACTATATTTTAAGTTTTTTCAAAAGTTCTGAGAGGAATGGTACTGTTTCACATTTTTGTAAGTCTTTTTAATATCTGGCTTATTAGAAGACAGCTGGAGTCTAGTATCTGCTTCTTCATTCAGTCTGTTATAATTTGTTGGTGTATTTGAAGTATACGAAGATTATCTTGCCTCACTCACATGAAACTGAAAAAGAGTTTTTTAGCAGCCTTTTTAGATAGTTGTGGATTTCTTTTAATACTCCACCAAACTTGACAAGGGGTAGTTTCTTAAAAGGTTCGTTTGTTGCATTATAGTGTCTGAACCCACAATCAACAAGCTCTTGGTACTTTCACAATAAAATCCATTGGTATCTGGCATGGAATCGGGCTTTTGTAATACCTTTCATCAGCTATTTGGAAAACATTGGTTTATTGGGTTATATAGATCTTCCAACTACTGATACACTTCCATATGCTTCATTATTTTTTAAAAAGTGACAATTTTCCAATATCATCACCATTCTCATCAGAAAGTCTTTTTAAGTATTAGGAAGCTTTCAGGCTCATGCATTTTAGGATACAAGTCTCCAAAATCATTTTCATTCTGTTCAGAATATTTTCTTTTTATTTTTTAAATGTTAAGATTTTATTTACAAAGCTTTTTTGTTGTACAGAAAGGAAAAATGCTTTCTCGGTGTAAGTGGCAGAGGGAGATGGTTGACTCACTCACCAATCACAGCTGTCTACACTACAGCAAGGGTCTTATTTGAAAACTGAACAACACACAATTTTGTTGGTTTGTAGTCCCCAAAATTTGTGGTGAATTTCGGTCATGGGGAGCATGGGGCGCAGGCGCTCCTGGATCTGAGGATTACTGTCCAGAACCAGCTGAGGAGGGAGCAGGGGCTCTCCTGCAGAGCCCATCCCAGGGTTGTCATGGATGCGGGGAATAAACACGAGTCATCGCAAACACTTCTTTGTTTGCCAAGAGAGGGGACATGGCTCTTCCCTCTAGGGGAGAGAAGGCTCTGAACCCCCATGTCCAAAGCCTTTTATTGAGAACCGTATGCACAGGGGTATACAGCAAAGCTCATCAATCAATGTCAAAAGGCAGAAAACAGATCAATGGATAACAATTGTAGGAACACAAGAGATCTGCCTCAGGTTAGGGGCTATGAATAATGTAAATCTCCTTCCCAGCATGAGCCGCTTATCATCACTTTTGTGGGAAGAACAAAGCTTGCTTAGAGGAGCTTACTTCTAGGCCTGACTGTCCCCAGGAATCACCTGATCCAGTTTAGGGCTGGACCTGCCTTTAGTATTTCAAACCTGAGCCAGGTGGGCAGGGCTGGGCCACTGAGAGATGAGGAGACTTCTTTCAGGTAGAATGAGGACTCTGGCCACGTCCAAGCCAAGCTGAGGGGTGCGGGCCTTTTTGCCCTTTCTCTGTGTCCCCCAAGTCCTTGTCTGCTGCCCATACCGGCTAATGTCATCTTGGGTCTTCTCTCCTCCTCAGAGAACTTACCTGTCATCTACAACTGACCATCACAGGGCCAAGCAAGGTGATGTGAGGGAGGCAGGGCCTGCACCCCTGCCAGGGGGACAGATTTGTCTCCTCAACGGCTTGTTTTCCCAAGGTTTCCTTGATTATTTCCAGCCTTGTGGCCCTCTCGCCTATCGGTGAGGCCACAGTCCCTGAAACCAGATGGTATTTCCCAACAAATTTCCAAAAGGAACTAAATGGAGGAGGGCAGAATGCTGTTCAAAATATTTTCTAATTTCCCTTGACAAGGGAAAATATTCTAAGACTTTTAGGTTATTTAGAAGTATAATGTTTAATTTCTAAATATTTGGGGATTTTCTAGCTCCCTTTCTGTTATTGATTTCTAATCTAATTCCATTATAATCAGAGAATATACTTTGTATGATTTCACTCCTTTTAAGTTTATTTTTTCATGGCCCAGAATATGGTCAGTTTTGATAAATATTCCAGGTGTATTTAAAAATAATGTATATTCTGTTGTTGTGTGTTATAAATATCAGGTAAGTCAAGTTGATTGTTCAAGTCTCCTGTATCCTGACTTATCTTCTGTACACTTGTTCTATTCTTTAGCGAAAGTTATTGAAATTTCCCAACTATAATTGTATATTTCTTTCTCAGTTTAGGTTGGTCAGTTTTAGTTTTATATATTTTGAAACTATTAGGTTCATGCACATTTAGAATTATTATGTCCTCTTAATGGATTGATCTTTTATCTAGAAGAAATAACCATCTCTCACGGTTCTTCCTTGTTTTAATATCTACTTTGTCTGAAGTCAACTTTGTGTGATTTGCCTTTAGATTAGTGTTAGCATGAAAAAGGAGTACTTAATATATGATTCTACTTATATAAAATTGTAGAACTTGCAAATAAATTGACTAGAAAATAGATTACAAGTTGCCTGAGAAGAGGGAGTAGGGAGAGTTGGGTTACAAAGGATCATAGGGGAACTTTTAGACATGATCAAAATGTTTCTCATTTTGATTTTAGTAATGGTTTCTCAGGTACATACATATGTAAAAATTCACCAAATTGTACACACTATATATGCTGTTTATTGTATATCAATTATATCTCAATAAGCTGTTTAAAAAAAAAGGAATGCAATACCCTTTGGTTCCACTATCTTGACAGCAGTTTTATTCACCATTGTTTTTGTGCCCTCAGAAAAAATATCAACACAGTGAAATAGGCAAATAACATCTTAGTAGTAATATGAAAATAATTTTAACCTTACATATCCCCTGAAAGGATCTCAGGGATGCCCAGGGGGGTCTATGGGCCACTTTGAGAACC